TATAGTCTTAACAGACACTGATCTGAAATCGTTTATCTTATCTTGTCTACTTGTTTTATTTGTAAGTTTGCCTTTAATAGAGCGAGTCAAATGAAGGCTTGACGAGATAAGTGTGATAATGAGCTCTCTCATGGGTTGACCCGACAATCTTCGTCATTAAGGCCCGTAAATATCGGGTCGTGTAGTCTCTGCCTGGAGGCACACTTACATGTAAATATCCGTGGAAACCTCTGGACGTACATTTGTGATGCAATTCAAAATAAAACAATTGTGCAGTAAATATTACTTGGTTATGTAATCATGGCCCGTGCCAGCAAACCGATTTAGGCTTCCAGTGATTAGAAAATAACTTTATGGATGGGATGACCATAACTGTGATCGGTGTAAAACCAGTAGAGCTTTTCTTTGTTTTTTACTCATTATTTTTCTGGGCTCTTTCGTGCTGACTTTTTCGTTATCGTAAACTTGTTTTACATCACTCTCGAGTGTTTCAGGTTCATACTAAGCAAGGGTCAGCCAGAAATTCGTAAAATGTGCCCGGAAAATGCGAACACTTTGAGTGTGCGTGAGCTTTGGTCCTGTCCATTGCGTAACATTTTAACCCTAAAACTGAAAGCTTTTTCATTCGGTATCCATAGAAATTCTTCACTTGGCATTCATAGAAATTTAATCAAAGTTGCCGAGCTATTTTTTTCTACTTTGCTGAGTTAACAATTATTTCACAATAATGGAATTCGGCTGAATCTTCCCACACTTGAACTTGGACTTCCAGGAAAGTGTAAGTGAAAGCGGAATTATGGTTTTCCGTTCTGTTTTCGATCCTACGTACCCTCCTTTGGAGGCTACCGTTCGATCAATCCTACTCCCATTTTACAATAGAGAAGTAAAAATAAACTGACCAAGAGGTCTAATATGGGCGTTTATGTTGAAACAAACATATACAGTCGCACATCAAATTGTACAATCACCAAACAAATTCATGCATCGTGTGCAATATTGTTCATTACAAAAAAAAAAAAAAATCGCTCAGCCATCCTTCTATAGACTTAAACGCCCACCCAAAAATTTCAAGGGCCAGAGCCCAAAGTATGTGAATTATGAAATTAAAAATCAACAATCTGTTGTGGGTATGGGAGCCAATAACCGGAGAGGAAATGTATTTGAATTAAAACTGGACGGAGCTGAAGTTTTTTATAATTCTTCAACCCATGTGGCCGGCGAAGTTAATGCTGAATTCCGTCCGCCAATTTTCAAGTGAGAAGGAATCTTTGTTGTTGATCTTCCAATGCTCATAATCCGCCGGTTTTTACGTTAGCGATCAGGAAATTGAATTATGAACGATCACTGTTTAAAGACGGCTGAGCTGGGATTGTTCAGGGCCATAATCGGACAAACCTGAACAGAAGGCCAACATTATGGAAACACAGAGATATAAATTGTTTCTGGTACGTTTGCTTGTTAGTGTTTTAAAACTAACTTTTGGATTAATTTGGTGCTGGTTAATTGCTGTTTTAAATGTTAGTTTGTACTTTTATTCTCGTTAGTTAAACCCTTTTTTGTCCTACTCGCTTACTAAATGACATTTTTTAGACATCGAGGAATATATTTGTGAGAGTGCCTTTTGGTCTGATATTAGCTGGTCATTTTTTTTGTCTTTTGTCTCAGTTTAACAGTATTCCTTCAAAAACAGCTTGTTTGTAGTTACAGACCAAGACAATTTTTTAAAGACCTTTTAACTATGTTATTAGTATGTACAGGAAAGCTGTCGAAAAGTGCAAACTTTAAACAATTAGTTTCACATCTTCGTTTTGCCAATTTCCTACTTAGGTAGCATATTTGTCGAGATAGCCTTCAAAGATGAGCCACGTAGAATTGCTGTACGTGCAAAATTGCTTCAGAATTTCAAGTTCCATTTTAAATATTCACAGTCTTACCTCAGTACTCTATTTTTTTTCTCCGCGTGACTCTAGTTTTTCATTCACGCGTGAAGGGGCGTGTGTCCTGCACTATCATCAGATTTGGCTTGTTTGATTTAAGAAATATAACAATGTGTGGACTCGTTTTAAACAACACTCATCTAGAAGAAGAGTTAAGGAACTTCAAAGCTATTTATTCCGAGTTATATTCAGTTTCGTGCGACTTTACAAAACGTCAAGGGTCCACCTTATAATACTTCGCACTTATAATATTGTGACGCGTTTCCCTAAAATACTTCACTTAAATACTTCTAATTATTCAAGAATTTGACTAACGACGTCAACTTTCTTAAAACTAATATCTTACGCAGTTTGATCTAAATGTATTGGTTTATGCCCGGAAGTAAGTATTAATTCTTTTGTTGTACGCAATGTTATTGATTTTTTCTCCAGAAGGCACCAGTCATGCACTTTTTACAAGTTTATTTTAAAAGGACTTCTGTTCAGTTAACTGAGACTTTGCCAGCTTAAGTACTTATTTGTCTGCGGTCGATTTACAGGTTCATTTGCCGTTAATTTATGAGTCTTTTAAAACTCAATTAATTATAAGTGATTTGACTTAAGACAATGGCAAACAAACATATTTCCTCAAGTTTGACACCTAATGATCTCACTAAGATGGTTTAAATGCTTTGATATTGCTTCAGTGATCAAGAATTGTCTCGCACAAAACAGTTGTCGCGCAGTTTCACCACAGGCAACCCAAGAGTGCTATGTGTAAGAACTGGTGAAAAGTTTCTAGCATGAATTCGAAATAAAATAATATTTTCGTCTTCATATTGCCGCCTATTTATTAGGTCCATTCATCTGACGGTCATAACTGAATAATAGCTGGGGGACAGTGTCGAGCGAAAGGACGGAAAGTCTACGCCATCTGGCTAAGAAACTTCCCGGAAGACAACCAAAAGATGATAAACTACAGATGACGAGGCATTCCTTTGCAAATTATATGAATTTTCTTCATTGTTTACGGTCAAGACTCGGGCCCGTTGTCGACTGAGGTCGGTCGTACTGGCAAGTCCGATTCCCTCGTAGCCAAATATCCAAAAGTAATGAATATAACGTGAATTTACTGACAAGCTGGAAAAAAGCCCTATGAAAGCAAAAAATCCGTTCAATTTTCAAATACATGCCAAACATTTTTATCGCTCCACAGTTTCGAGGTTCTCGTATGGTCTTCACTATTTTGTTTTAATTTATACCATATACAAGCTAAGCAATGTATAACTGACGCTGTCTAACGGAATTAGTGTTAGATCATTCTATTCTGATCATCTCTAGTGATTCTAGTGATTTTCATCTCTAGTAATTCTCTTAAATGATGGCAGTTTGTCAAAATAGACAAACTATGGCGTGTTACGTGAAATCCTGCCAAAATCAAAGATCATTAAATTCATTATCTCCTAATCAACATTTTCTCATTCACGCAATACTGAATTCAGTGGGTAAACCCAGGGGCAGATCTAGGGGGAGGGTGCAGGGGCTGCGCACCCCCCTCCGGCCCCCCGGAGATGACCAGCGGTCTTCTAATACAACTGGTATTCTGCCCAAAAAAAACTATGTGGTTTATTGGTGTTGAAGTAGAGTAAGAGACGGGTGCACCCCCTCCTAAAAAAAATCCTGGATCCAGATGTTTGAGAAACAAAGCCCACTCGGCGACTGACCTTTACATCATAGGGTTAAAGCAAACTACTAATTTACCGAAAATCTTTCCGTAAAGTTCTTTAGTACGTAATGATGAGATTGTCGAAACTTTTGCATCGCATGACCTTTTTTTACCACACAACCAAGCAACACCGAGGTGCATTAAAAGAGTGCTGTAGGGTAGGAGAAGTACTTCTTGGATGGAAACCAATAAACGTGTACCTGTTTATGAAAATCCTTTAACTGACAACCTAGTGTTGCTAAACGATACAACTGACTGGTACATAAAGCTGAGGAAACAACAGTTTTATATATTTTCCCTTGTTTTTTTAAAACCTCTTGGCGACGACCACTTCACATTTACTCGACATTACGTTACCCCTATTATACCTCAACTGTAGATGTAAGTCTTTCGATGGCAAAGATGTAACGAATCGCATCTTGAAAAAATTGGGCAAACTTTTTCAAGCTAACATTGATTTCTTTCTTCTAAAAAAGTTACCAAAAACCTATCATGCTTTGTTTTTCCTTTGATAAATCATATCTGATATTTTCCTTTAGAATTCCAAGCTATGAAAAAAGTAATTAAGAACACTAAGATAACATTTCACCTCAACTGTGACCCGAAAAAAGTGGGACATTCCCATAACCTTTAACAAAACATGAGGGGCCCTTCTCCGATTTTTTCTGAGGGGGAGGGGGTGGGGCGCTGTACAAAGGCTACCATGCTTTAGACTAACAAAACTCTTTTCTGCTCTGTCAACAGTCTCTTTGTTTGTACCTGTTCTTCTATTGTACATCATTGAACTTTATCCAAGGGATACCCATCAACTATAAATCGTCAAAAGACCGACAGTCAAGATCGCGGGTGGCCAAATCCATCACGCACCTTCATGTAGTTGGAAATGCTCCGACCAATAGAGTACGCGCCCAGTTACTTTCAAGGACCGGCTATTTCTTGGAAATTCTAGCCAACGGAACCATTAATACAACACTGAACAATTCATCAAATTACAGTAAGTGAGTGATTTTACTAAAAATAGTCAGTGCAGTTGAGAGATAATTTTGCGATTGCTTTGCTTTTACAGTCAACTGCCTCATTGGCGACCGCCCTCTTAAGCGCCCACTTAGAAAATAACCGCTCTATTTCTCAGTCAAATACTGTTAAAAAAAAATCGTAAGCGACCACTACTTAAATTTCTTAAACGACCGAGACCACTTTTAGGCCTGGAATTTGACTTATTCTCTTGTTTTCTGTTTCCCATATAAGCGACCACTCGGCGGCATGATTACCTATGAGTGTAAAAATATCCTTCAGCTTGCATGTCACAAAAGTTCACTTTTTTACTAGCGCTGATAAAGTGCAATGAAAGCATGTGAGTTACAAAAAAAAATGGCTGTGTTGCGGACTGTTCTAAAAGGTATAAACTTATGTAATTACTTTAATCAGTTCAATTTGAGCTCATTCGCTTGAGTTTTTCCGTAGACGACCACCTCCCGTGAGCGACCACTTTGTCGTGCACCAAGGGCGGTCTCAGCCTGCGAACAGCAGACGTATTTCCCGTCGTCGCTTCTCGGAGGGAGAGAAGCGACGACCGGAAATGCGTCTGCTGTTAACAGGCTAGGGTGGTCTCTAATGAGAGGGTTGACTTTTGTAGCATTGTCTTACCATAGTACGCATTTGCGAACCTGAGTTAATGTCGAAAGATTTACCGATTATTAGACGAGGCTGAGTGTCATCTGAAGAATTATTCAGATCATACAAGCCTCATACAAGTAACAATGTCAGTTAGGTTGATCTTAAACCAATTTAGGCCATTGGTGTACCTTGCCACGAGAAGACATTACACTCAACATATACTGGACTGCGGCCTTGCTAAGCTCTAATACCAGCCCTTTTGTGTCTCCCAGTCCCTTCGTTTCTCGTGGGGGAGCTACTCACCAACGTATTGTTAAGAAATCTCAGCCCCCAGGTCCAACCCCGTACCCGTTTATATAAAATTTGGGTAAAAGTGAAACTCCTTCCACATACCTGATACACTGAAACATGATGCCCCTGTCACATACCTAGAAACAATATTTCTTCTTTTCATTTTATGATACAACTATAAGTTGCATCGATTCCAAATATTTCAGTATAAGACCCTTTTGAATAGCTCAATTAAAAATTTCGCTTCCCTTTCATAAACTTCTACTTAAGAAATCCCCACCCTTTTATAGTACCCGAAATCCTGAATAACGTACCCCTTTCTGGCGGGGCCTCCCCATATGGGCCATCACAGGGAGTATCCTCTGGTATTTGCTGTTGGAAAGAGGATGCTAGCCGGCTGAAAATTGATCCTACATCCGTGCACTTGGAACTGGCGGGACCAGGAACCCGCTATATTCCGTGCCTGCCTGTTTTGTGCAGAGGACGTGTTTTAACCAATTCTTCTGTGAGGGAAGTACAGCTTCTTTCATGTCAGTTTGAACTTATCAACAACATTTTTTGTTTTATTCTTTAGCAATTTTAGAAATCCAAACATACAACAAAACGCTAAAAAGATTTTTAGGAGTACACTGTGGTTGTTACCTCGCTTATGAGGATAGAGGCAAGAGAAGAGGAAAATTTATAGGAACAGTAAGTTTTTAGAAACATTTTTTAACATTTAGTTAGATCAACGTATCAGTATTGTAGTGCAACGATTCCAACTAGTGTCACCCAACATTGAATGGGCCAATCATAGCTCACGTCCTCGACGAAGTATCGAGTATGAACAGGTCGTAGTACTATGATGTAAAATTTCTGATTAAAAAGGTTTTATCTGAATGATAACACCGTATGATTTTATCCCTAGATTCCAAAGTCAGAATAACAAAATACCTCACCATAAATCGCCCTAAGAGTCAATGGTTTAAACTATACTTTAGATTTATCCCTCTCCCCTACCAGCTGTAACATTCTAACCCAGATTATTTCTGTTTTTTTTTGTTTTCAGAAAAAAAAAACAAACGACTCTTTGTTCCTGGAACTATTTGAAGAAAATAGTTTTACAACTTATAGGCCGCTAACATATCCACGTCAACATAACGACACGGGGTATCTGGCAATTAAAGAAAACGGAAAGTTTAGAAGAGTAGACAGATCAAAGGCCGGCATGCAGGCGTCACAGTTCAACATTCTAGAGATAAAATAGGTGGGTCAGTATGCTTTAAGCATTGCACTATTCATTTAGAGCGATTTTCTTATGACCTTGAAAAATGGTTTCAGTGCGTACGTTTTCGTTATTTGTTTTGTCAGCCAATTGATGAAAAGATCAAAACAAGGACTCTTCGTTTTCCCGCCAAAGAAAACCCTAATATGGAGAGGGCATTGTTCGATTGGCCAATCGTGTTGCAGTATGACGTAAAAGCGAAGTATCGATTAATTTCTAGAAAGTTCTCGGGCATAGAGTTTTTTACCCGTGCGTTTGCTTAACCAACCAAAAGCCACGTGCGTTTGTATCCATTCGATAAACCAATCAAATCGCTCTATTTTCGTTCGTTTGTTCTTTCTGTTCGCGCTTTTTCATTTCAAGGTTATACGAAAATCACTCTATCATTTACTAACAAAACCCTACCGCTGGATCATGGCTGTTTGACTAAAATCATAGTGCAAATTGTTGTGAACCTGTTTTGCGTGAATTCACAATGCGCGAATTCGAATTGAAATATAATCTCAATTATGATTTCAAAGTGACCAAAATTCAACGAATCGAAATCCCACAATTTAATTGCCCAAATCATGTAGGATTTTAGTCAGTTCCATTATTCTTTTTAATTTTTTGATCCATCAGCCAGTTTATAAAAAACTGAGTAGGACCGAAAGTGCTTTTACACCCTATTTTGTGATGGAAAGCAAAAATAAAATGCAGTTTAGAGCAAAAAATAGTGTATGTGATTCGTGGATAAATCACATTGTTGAAAGTCAATCAGATTGCAGGGTCCACTAATGATTTTAAAATGTTTTACATTTAAAGTCACCAACAGACTTGTCTTTTCATATTTTATAGCTTCCTACTTGGCCGTCTTGGTCCAGAAAGAGGAGTTACGAAAAAATAAGAATTCCACACGAGGAACCTAATTTGATGTCTTGAGTAAGACTTAGAAGAATTAGAAGTCGTCTCATCGAGGATCATGCCTTGTTTTTATTTTTTTGAAGGAAGACAGAAGAATTTGTTGCAATCAATTTACAGAGTGTTAGAATCAGAGTGGGTTTGTTTGTCCAGTCCCTCGGCGTGAAAACTGCGGTCCCACTCATTGAAGGGACTGGATAAGAAACGGTATATTTAAACAAATTCCCTGAAATAAAAAAGGAATAGCAAATCTAAAATACTTAGAGACAATAATGAATCAACAAACGCCAAATCCAAGTTGAAACATAACTTATATGTTCGTGGGAAAAACCCAAGAGCGGTTAGTCTATATAAGCATTTTTGTATTTACTTATAAGTGCCTTTGAAATATTTTACTTTAATGAAGGTTTTAAAATGGCAGAGAACGTATATTTAATAGTTTGAAGGGCTCGGGACTTTTCCAGTACGAGAGAATATCTTATTTAACTCATGAATGTCCATAATCAATCTACCAGTTCGTCTTTTGTCTAGTTTCAACAGTAGAAGGGAAGACTTTTCGTTTGACATTAGTGGCTAGGATAAACATAGAGTCTTTCACGTTTCACTGCTGATTCATGGACTGGTGATCACATGACGTTATTTATAGATCATCAATGATATCGTACATGAAACCTCTGCTTGTGATCTTTGTTTTTAACGAGACGTGATAATAAGTTAATTTCATAACTCAAAAAGAAAATTCATATGAAATATTTGGAGAATTGGCATACATACCGACTAGGCATAATGAAAAATACGTGCAACACATTCTTGCGTTGTATCTTGAAACTTCCTACAGGTGACTTGGCAGACTTCATTTCTTTTCTTATATGATGCACGAGCCTTGAGGCTAATACAGTGATCTGACAAAGATTGGTCAGGAATTGTGGAAAGTCAAGTCACGAGTGGGATATATATTCACGGTATACCACGAGAAAACATCGGATATCTAATATATCTCATGCCTAAGATGTAAACGAATAAACCATTACATCACGGGTAAACTAGACGAAAGTCACTTTTTTCGAGTTATACCCTATTTTTTTATCAGTGTCTTTTCCCTATTCAATAGATTGATTCAGAAAACTACCGTTGTTTACAGCCTGTGTAGCACACAGAATATGAAACGGTTTCTTAACTCTCTGATTTGCTGTATTCTTCAAAAGCCTGCTAGGAAGGCGCTTAACTGGGTAGTAAGGTGGCGCGCGAGTACACAAAGTGCAAGCGCGCGAGGGAGAAGGAAAAAAACGCCTGCAACGACGTTAGATGTTTTTGCCTGTTCCCCTCCCTCCTTCCTCGTGCGCCCTCGCGTTTTCACGAGTCTTTCCCCTCCCCTCCCTTTGAAACACCTTTCACGCAGGCTATATTCTTGAAGGCACGGAATGAAAATGTATTGATTAGGATAACTAAAATAGCTGGTAGAGACTGTTTATTTAGCCTCATCCTTAGGTGTAAGGACCTTTAATAATCACGATTAACTTAAAACAAAGAGGTCAGCACAATAGAGACTAGGAAATTAATAGATATTAGACACAGAAAAACTACACAGGTTTTTTTAAAAAAACTCTAATTGTGAGCAATTTTAACCTCTTCACTCAATTATAGTAGCTTGGCAAAAGAACAAAACACTGCTAAAAATTGTATGGAAAATGATTTAAAAGACTTAATAATAGAAGAATATTATCTATTCTTCACACAAGAGGATTTTTTTCCACTCACTAAAATAAATAATAATTCATTTTTGATCTCTGGAAGCTGGCAAATTAACAAACTACTTTAGAATTTGTTTTGAGCCTAATGACGTAGTCTACTCTTGAAGAAATACCTCTGATTGGACCTGATGATTAAGTGTTGATTTCTTTTATGTAATTGGCACAAAGTGCATTATAATATTTATTTATTTTTAAACGTAGCAGTTGGTTATTTAAGATAAATAAAGTTAAGATATCATGCCGGAGATCAATGACTCTTTCCATTTATCTTAATAAATAATTAACATATACAGTTAAGCAAGTTTTATTTAACAATTAATGAATGAGGCTGAGTATCTTATAAAGAATTATGGAGATCTAGGAGGGTGTTATCGAGGCGGATAACACCCTCCGAGATCTCCATAATTCTTCATAGGATACGAAAGCCGAATTCAACAATTGTCTTATTATTTATTCAAAATAGTTCCTAGTTTAAAAGCATAGCTAAAAACATGCTTACCTCCATCGATGTTAAGTTCATCTTCGATAGTGCCCGTTAAGGGTTGTTCAACTCCGCAAATATTCTCCAAAATAATTATAGCAGATGTCGCCCTTCTAGTTATCTTCTTGCTGTTCTTGCCATGTTTTTAGCTATTATTTCGCCTAGTTCTTAATCTTGAAACGAGTGAAATGTCCACCATTTTTGTTTTCACAACCAAACCAATCCAACCTCGTCCCCAGATCTTCTCGGTTAACGATGCATTAACCTAAAAGGAAGTGCACTTTTGACGTCATCGGTTCATTAATCGCAAAATTCTTCCCAATTTGGTCATCAGTAGCTAGTTATCGTGAATTATGCGTGTGCTTGTAGCCAATCAGAATTGGGGAAATATTTTGAATGAATAATAATGTTGGGCACAAATGCCGCTAGTCTGTTCCAGGCGTTCAGATAGTAGAGGGCGGACGATTTAACTCGCTCCCCACCATCTGAACGCATTGAGCAGGCTAAAATGTTGCCTGCCTCTTCCATAAAAACAGTTTCCTTTACAAACCGTTTCTCCATTGTCTTCTTTGCGAGAAGCATGAAAATAAAAGACTCCTTTTTAGCGCTAGTACTGATGTACGTGTGATGGGGGAACTTTGATTGCAATACAGACTCTCTAGCCTATTTAGCTGGATACAATTTACAGTCGAATATCGATATAACAAAGCAAGGCCTTGAGGGTCTTTACCACAGGACTTATTATATAGGTCCGTTAAATCAAGATTCACTGTACAGCGGAAGGCTTAAGCTTGGCTCGGTTCCTGGTTACTGTATTTTCTTCACCACCAAACTCTTTTCAATACTATCTATGCACTAGCAACGCCAACTATTTCAATAATTCAGCCATATTCACAAAAAGCATGTGAAATCCGGATTTCAAAAAAATCCAATGCGTCAGCGTTTAACTCGCAAACATTTGAAGCATGCATGTTTAGATATTGGTATTTATTGTTTATTTCATTTGCAAATGACAAACACTCTGTTACTTTTATTAGCTCACTCTCAATTAAATTAAACTGGCAAGGCTACTATACTACTTCTAACAATTCAACTCGGCGATACGCGCCTCGTTAACCATAGACTCAAAGAAAACTAGAACTCCACTCGTAAAGTTATTTTCAATTTAAAAGATTAGTCTTTTGCGTCGGAAGACTCTTGGCCAATGAAATTAGCCAAGGGAATCACTGTGGCCAACGAAGAGAATTTAACTTGTTAAAATGGTTAGGAAGAGAGGACCAAGGAGCTTTAATCTAAAATATCAACTTCCATGTGGGATTTTGCGGACCTTTGTGAACACGGAAATCTAAAAATAGAATGAAAGTGTCACGCGTAGTAAATGTACTATCCGGTAATGAGCTGCAGGATTAATTCAGCTCCCAGACTCCCAATATGTCTTGCATCAGGCACTGGCCATTTACGAACGAGGCTGGAGTATTTGAGAAATCTCTATGTTCTCCGAGTGGATTTCTACTATTCGTTTGAACTTCCTCTGTATTAATCGGTTTAATTACTTTCATTCAAAATACAATGAAATCTTATTGTGGAAATAAATTAATGGGCGTTTTCTTCTGCAACCTTAGCTTGTTAGCGGCGTTCAGATGGTGGAGAATGGCGCATTTTTGGCGCTGTCTTCACTCTGAACAGGCTACTATAACCTTGAATACTGTGGAATAAGAAACGTTATCTACTTTAATAAGCGCCGCTCTCTAATAAGGGCAAGCTCGCAGCCCCAAAATGAGCGCTGCAACATTCCAGCCCAGCATTCCAGCAACGCTTGTCGATTTTCATTGTTTGCAATTAACGCTGCC